CGGAAGCAAACCAGTAAGCAGCTCACCTCTGTGGCCTCTGCATCAGCTCTTGCAACTGGGATCCTGCCCTGTTTGAGCTCCTATCTTGACTTCTTCATTCAGTGATGAACAGCAATGCTGAAGTGTAAGTCAAATAAACCCTTTCCTCTCAAACTTGTTTTGGTCATGGTGTTTATTCCCAGCAATAGAAACCCCGACTAAGACAGTGTCCATTCTGAAGAGCTCCAGTCACAATTATTATATAAACACTTTGTATTAAAAATATTTTTAAAAAGTCTGTTGAGTATTAATTAGGTATTAATATTATTTTTTATTTTTTTTATTTACACTAGAAACAAGATTGTTTTACATGCCAATCCTCGTTCCCTTTCCATCCCCTTTTCCCCTGCCCCCCACTAACACCCTACCTATCCAATACCATTTCTGCTCCCCAGGGAGAGTGAGGCCTTCCATGGGGAAATCTTCAGAGTCTGTCATATCCTTTGGGGTAGGGCCTAGGCCCTCCCCCTTGTGTCTAGGCTCAGGGAGTATCCCTCTATGTGAAATGGGCTCCCAAAGTCCATTCCTATGCTTGGGATAAGTACTGATCTACTACAAGAGGTCCCGTAGATTTCTGAGGCCTCCTCACTGACACCCACATTCATGCGGTCTGGATCAGTTCCATGCTGTTTTCCCAGTGATCAGTCTGGGAGCCAAGAGCTCCCACTTGTTCAGGTCAGCTATTTCTGTGGGTTTCACTAGCCTGGTCTTGACCCCTTTGCTCATCACTCCTCCTTCTCTTCAACTGGATTCAAATTCAGTTCAGTTTTAGCTGTGGGTATCTGCTTCTACTTCCATCAGCATCTGGATGAAGGCTCTAGGATAGTATATAAGTTAGTCATCAATCTCATTATCAGGGGAGGACATTTAAGGTAGCCTCTCCACTGTTGCTTAGATGGTTAGTTGGTGTTATCCTTGTAGATCTCTGGACATTTCCCTAGTGCCTGATTTTGCTTTAAACCTATCCTGTCTCCCTCTTTGATGGTATCTCTTATTTTGCTCTCCTCTATTCTTCCCCCTACACAACCTTCCTGATCCCTTATGTCCTCCTCATCCCTCCTCTTCTCCCTTTCTCATTCTTCTAGCTCCCTCTCTTTCCCCCCATGCTCCCAATTTGCTCAGGAGATCTTGTCCCTTTCCCCTTCTCTCAGGGACCATATATGTCTCTTTTAGAGTCACCCTTGTTGCCTAGCTTCTCTGGTGGTGTGGATTATAGGCTGGTAATTCTTTGCTCTATGTGTAAAAATCCATATATGAGTGAGTGCATACTATGTTTGTCTTCTTGTGACTGGGTTACCTTGCTCAGAATGGTTTCATCTAGTTCTATCCATTTGCCTTGGAATTTCAAGATTCCATTATTTTTTTCCTGCTGAGTAATACTCCATTGTGTAAATGCACCACATTTTCTTTATCCATTCTTCAGTTGAGGGACATCTAGGTTGTTCCCAGGTTCTAGCTATTACACTGTTATGAACATTAGTTGAACAGATGTCCTTGTTGTATGAATGTGCTTCTTTTGGGTATATGCCTAAGAATGGAATTGCTGGATCTGTGGTAGACTGCTTCCCATTTTCCTGAGGAGTCGCCATACTGATTTCCAAAGTAGCTGTACAAGTTGGCACTCCCATCAGCAGTGGGGAAGTGTTTCCCTTTCTCCGCATCCTCTCCAGCATAAGTTATCATTGGTGTTTTTGATTTTAGCCATTCTGACAGAAGCAAGGTGATATCTCAGAGTTGTTTTGATTTGCATTTCCCTGATGGCTAAGGATGTTGAACACTTTCTTATGTGCCTTTCAGGTATTAATATTGTAAATATTTCAGACTCAGGAATATTCCATATTAGAAGTAAATTATTTAGTTGCTTTTTAGATTTCTCTCCTTTAGCTTAGCCCTCAGGAATCTGTCATATCTACTCTAACTAGCCTTCTGACCCAACAGGACCAAGCACTTCTCCTCAATGGCCTCCATGAGCCAACCAACATGTCTTTTTTGAAAATTCTGACCCATATCGCTAAATCTTTAAATCAAATGTTTGCATAAACTCTTCTGTCGTAAATCTGATGGCTTCTGATTCAACTGACCATAAGAATCATGAGAAGCCAGAGTCCCACAACAGATTGAGACAGTATCTGTAGCAGCTCTCCAAGTCTGAGGTTATATTTGGCCAACTGAAAGGTGTGTTTGCTCTGTGGAGTTCTGAAATGCCATCTGCCCACCAAGAGAATACCTCAGTTTGGATACAGTGCAGTGAACCAGGTTAAGATGAAAGGGAAAAGACCAATTAGACTCACTTACCTCTAACTTCATGGAAGTTGCATTGCTGTTCCATTTTTAGGAGCATGCCATCCTATTTTCAAGAGAAACATGTGAGTTGGGGCTGGTGGTTTTGTCATAGGACTAACTTCTTTAAGTTCTTGATAAATATCCATGTACCAGAAGAGCAGAATGAGCCCCACCCCGGCCCCTCTCATCTACCTTTACTATCAGGCCTCCTGATGGCTACCCAGTTCAAATTCAGACAATGTGACTGAGGTGGATGCTGGATGAGAAGTAACTTTTGCTCTGGCATTTGCAGAAAAAATACTGACAAACTTTCTCATTTCAAAGACAGTCCAAGGAGAGTTCTTGTTTGGGTTTTATTTGTTTGGTGTTACATATCAAGATGTGTGATTTATTTCTGTTTCGGCTCTGAAAGTTCCACAGAGAAACCAGACATTTTCTGCCTGGTGGCAAGGAAAGGGTTTTAAATCCAGATAACTCTGGGAATATTTAAAAGCATGTTTCTTTGGCTAACTGAGCTGAGTGATCAAAACAGGTCCTGGCAACTGCTTGGCTGGCATGGATTTGTGCTGCTTGAATGGGCAGAGGCTGCTTTAAGCACTGCATCCAGCAGCTGCTGGTTAATTTGTCTTTTGGAATGATACTCTACGTGGTGTTTATTGGAAGTCTGGGTGCATATAAAGGAGCCCAGCAGAGAGAGGAATTAGGCTAAGTCTTGGATATAAAGTCTCAGGGCTTAGATTTAAAGGCCAGGATGCTTTGCCAATCAAGAAAGGCCTTCTGGAGCATAAATGATCTGCTACTAGGTCTTGCTACCTCTTGAATTTATCTCTTTGCTTTTCATTCCCTGGTCTAGGCCCACTTCACACTCACCATGGCCCAGTTTCCCTTGGCTTTTTCTTAGTGCCCAGCATCTCCATATGCTAGTGTAGTCTACCCTGCCTTACCTAATAAAGGGAAGACTGCTTCCATGTGCAGTGATTTTCCTTTACAGGTACCACGTAACTTCTAGGAGAATTACAGTCTCTTTGATGAGTCCCACTAACTGGGGTGCACGAGAGCAAAGTGTCTGGCATGCACAAGTGTTCAGCCTGGGAGTCAAGGGATTCAACAATGAAAACAGGGTCAGCCAGCTCCTGAGCAGCAGTCTGGCATCTGCTGAGATTGAGGAGTAGCCCTGGAGATCTGCATTGATTAACTCATCCAGTTGTGGCTCAAATCTTTAGTAGAGATAGGCATGCTATTATTTACTAACAGTACAACACAACAACTTATTTGATTTCCATGTTATATTAGGTGTCATGAGTAATTGAAACTTTATGGAGGATGTATACACATTGTATATAACGTTATACAACATTATATAAGAAATTCAGATTTCTTGGGGTTAAGGCATCTGTAAAAGGCCTGGAAGCAGTCTCCCATGGATCCTGAGAGATATGCATTATATCTTGGTGCCACAGAAATCTGCAGTGTATTGGCTATCCAAATGTCTTCCAGGTTCTTCTGTCTGCCTCACAGAGTTATTCTGTGTTAAGTTTATATTAGCTATTTCAGTGGTTATTGCTGACAATGAAATCACAACTTAATATCATTGACAAGTGGGAAATGGTCTCAGCAATGACTACTGTATGTTTTTTTGTTGCCTCTCCTCTCCATGTCTCAATCCTGCAAACTGTTGGCTATACCATGTACATAGAAGTTTAGTTCTGGGTGAGAGCTGGCTTGTGGCTATTTTGTCATATATCTGACATATATTAGTTGTGAATTAATGGATGAAATGGGTAATTAGTATTTTAATAGTGTTTTCTTCTTTTCCAGTTACAACCCCTAGACAGAAACTGAAAATCCACTTCTCTCGGTGCCCCAAGCAATACAAGCATTACTGCATCCATGGGAGATGCCGCTTCGTGGCTGACGAGCAAACACCCTCCTGCATGTAAGTAGAAGGCCCTGTGCCCATGAGCAAAGGGGTGCAGTATGATTCCAGCTTGGGGCTTGACAGCATTGGAAAGTCTGAGCTAACCCTACCATCTGTCCGGATGCAGTTCCATCGGGTCCTGCCTTCAGCCACTTTTTTAAAGGCCCAGCTCAGCATGTACTTGTGGAGAAACTGACGCAGACTTTCCTCATGAAATAAGAGTGTGAGAATCCAGACCCATTTCTGCACCTTTGGTGTCCTCTGCTCCCTTGTGCAAGCAAAGAGGATTCTGTCTGTCTTAGGATCTCATCAGTCCCAATCATCTCCTGGGTGGTTCAAATGAAAACAGATTCTTTGGCATGTGTGAGGCAGTTCCGAAGTTGATGTAAATGAGAAGGAATTCCTGCCAAGCTAGATGCTGTCCATTTGCAGGTGTCAGTAACATGTGAAGAAACTAGAGTATTCATAAATAGAGATGATCAAGGCCTACTTAGCCCACTGGGAAATGGGGAGAGGAGCAGACTTTGGACCAAGAGTGCAAGTTTCAACTTTTTTTGCATATGTTAATATTCATTTTCTTCTAAATGGATGTCCCTTTAAAGAGAATTTTAGAATTTTACTTCATAGAGGGATCAAGTGAATCCTTAAGCATAATTCTGACCTTAGGTTCAGATTATGTATGTTCTGCACAGCTTGCCCAGTATAAAATTTCTCATAAGTATCTCTCGAGCATAATTTGCTTGACCATTAAGGGTCATGGACTTCTCAAAATTTAACTCAGTTCAATTTAAAAAGAAATATGCACAGACAATACTTAGAGGTGGGATAAGAATTGATAGTATAAAACACAAGGTGAGTGTGTGTGTGTGTGTGTGTGTGTGTGTGTGACTAGACTTGAGTTTCCGAATTTCTATTTTTTTACTGGCTTGGGGACATATACTAAATTTTAAAATGGTGAATGCCTTTTGTCCCAGTACGTTTTGTTCTAACTGGTTCCCATGTCTGCAGGTTCATTATTCTTTACCTGTGCTGTCTTCCTAGATGAAAACCAGATTGTGTAATCTCCCTGCCTAAGATCAATTCACAGCTATTCCATTTGCCAGGAGGTTGATACTCATTTTCTCGGTCTAAAAACCACCTCAGATCCTGACTCAACTTCCTAGTACTAGTTTTCAGTGTGTTTGCAGATGCCCTGCTCAAGCCTGTGTTCCTTCCCAGGGGTTGGTAGACAAATCCCTCTCTTAGCCTAGAGAGCTTGTTCCTCCTGGTGATGTAATATGGCTCAAGCATTGATCCCCCTTCCTCTTGCTTTCCACATGGGAGATGCTCAGTGAAAATAGTCATCAGCTGATGAGTAATTGGTTTGTGGAGGGCAAAATGACAGGAGAGGTGCTCTAGCCATGCTAAAATTTGACTTCTAGCATGACTTCATTGGGTTGCAACCTACAGGAAGTTCTTCTTGCAGAGACATTCAGTTAAAGCTACTGAGCCCAGAGTTTATAGTTAGAAAAAAAATTCCTAAAGAGCAGCGTGTAATGGCTGGCCATTTATGGTCAAAACAGTCATTAAAAAAAAAAGTCGTATGTAGTAGACTTGTTAAAGAAATAGTTAAGCTAATTAAAAGAGAGTGATGATGTTTGTAAGATTTAATTATATTATTTACAAAGTCTTAAGAACAGTCCCTGTCATGATCAATTAAAGATTATCTTCTCCAATCCCAATTTTAAGAAAATTTTGATACTTTAATGCATTTCTAAGTTCTCAGCCTGTGGTGTTTTAAAAATTAAAAATTTACTTTGTGTGTGTGTGTGTGTGTGTGTGTGTGTGTGTGTGTGTTGGAGAGGTGCTCCTGGAGGCCAGAAGGGAGCACCTGAGTGTTTATTTTGTGCACTGCATGTACATAGGAGCCTGTGGCAAACAGAAAGAGGGTATTGTATTACATGGAAGTGGAAACACAAATGGCTGTGAGCTTTCCTGTGGGTGATGGGAATTGAACCTGGATCCTCTGGAAGAGTAATAAGTGCTATTAACCACTGAACCATAGCTCCAGCTCTTTAGTCTGTGTTTTGACCATAGAATGAAGACAATCAGTGTTCTTGAATGAAGCAGTTCTTCTTCACTTATCCTGAGAGCCTCTTGCTGCATCCATAGGTGTGCTTCTCCTTTCTCTATATAACAGTTCACTTTTCCATTGAGACAGTTTCTGAGTTTGTTTCTGTTGGCGTTTGAAGCATTTTGTCAGTTACAATGTTGGCAGTTGATATCTCCTTACTGGAGAAATAATTGGCTTTGTGGGAATTAACTGCATTGGCTCTTGTAGAGCATCAGCTATGAAACAGCCTGGCAATAAATTCTGAGGTTTAGACATAAATGAAGTAGCACAGAAATCTTTCCAAGGTGCAGAATTTGATCGTTTCAATATTTCAATAACTGTGTATGGGCCAGTGTTTCTTTGTTTGGGTGTATCTGTGGAGAATGAAGGGAAATATTAATGCAAAGATGCTAGTGTTGCAAGAGATAAATTTGATTAAAATGTGCTCAAATTTTTTTGTATCTTTTAAGATTCTATAACAACTCAGAATTCTATGCAGAGTCCATACATCATAGAACCATTTGCTCAGGGTGCCTTGCAAAAATAATTTCCAGCTTGGTCAAACATTTCCCTAACTATAACCACAGACTTATGCAATTTGCTGTGTTGAAGTTTATCTTGAGATTACATTGATAGAGATGTGAGAGACCAGGGAGAATCATGGTCCCATTGAGATTCCTGACTGATTCTGGCTGAATTCCCTTTATGAGGTCCATGGTATCAAAGGCCACTGCAAGAAGGGAGTGGAAGCAGTGGTGAACATGCCTGGAAATATAGCCTTACTCACTCAGCTAACAGAGCAGGCTGGGCAGGCTGGGACAGGACTTGTGTTATAGCTGTGAGGTGTGAATACTTTCTGACCTGTGGTCCCCCTAGTTATAGAATTAGAACTCCTCTCTCTCTCTCTCTCTCTCTCTCTCTCTCTCTCTCTGTGTGTGTGTGTGTGTGTTGGGAGATTCTGCAGAAATCATCTTTATAGAGCTTTCTGATTTTGGACATGGAGTCATGGGATTTCATTCACATTACCGTGTTTAACTATATGAAATATGTAATTTGTTTGCTTGTTTTATTGAGACAGGGTTTCTCTGTGTAGCCCTGACTGGAACTTGCTCCGTAAACCAGGTTGCCTTTGAACTCACAGAGATCCACCTGCCTCTACCTGGGAATAAAGGGATTAAAGGCCTGTGCCATCACTACCAATTCTGACAATATGAAAACATGTTATTATAAGGTAGTTCTTGGATGCAGTTAAATATTTGTCTTACCATACAGTGAAACGAGAATTTGTACAGCTTTGCCATCCTTGTCATGAGATTTTTATGAATTGGGAATGCTGTGGAGGGAATTTTAACATCTCCTTATGCAGAAACTGAAAGAGTAAAATAGCAAAACATTTTAATAGGTTGCCACAATGGTCTGTTCCTATCAGACAAGTTAGTAATGTTCTGGTGGTGGTGGGTTTCAGTGGCACAAGGTGCAGGTGCTCTTGCACACAATGGAGGAGAGCTTGCCTTCCTTTACTTTCATTAACCAATGAAAACAGTGCTAACTTTGTCTGAAAGGAAGTAGAGTCTCATAAAAGTGTCTTCCTTGTACAGCTGTGAGAAAGGCTACTTTGGGGCACGATGTGAGCGCGTAGACTTGTTTTACCTCCAGCAAGACAGAGGGCAGATCCTGGTTATCTGCTTGATTGCCGTCATGGTGGTATTCATCATTTTGGTCATCGGTGTCTGCACCTGCTGTCAGTAAGTGTATCTGCAAGGAATTTTATGTAAACCCTAGAAATTACATCTAACTTTTCCTCTCCTCCCTTTTCTTCTTTCTCTTCTTTTATTTTCTATTTCTTCCCCTTTACTTTCTTTTAAAGAAATCAACTTTCTGAGGCATGTGCTTATTGATATAATATTTATATTAGTAGTGAAACATATTGCAGATAATTTTTATCAATTTAATGAGAATGATTATTATAAGTTGAAACAAAATTTATAGATATCTTTGGGCTAAAAATTCTAGTTATTTATCCCTGAGGGCAGTATATTTTGTGTTTGTTAGTAAGTTAAATAAAAATTTCATTTTTCAAACCTGTCTAATTTCATAGTGACACTTAAAAATAGAAACAAACTGAAACATTTTTGTGTGACCATGAAAACAATTTTACATATACAGGCAAGTCCTTTGTTTTTATTATCGTGAGTTTTCATTATGCATTTGGAATCAGAGATAACTTTCTTTTTCTTTGACAGAAAGTGGGTTGGGACAACTATTGATCCATGGGCAACTTCTCTGTATTAAGTTCAATATTTTCTTGCTTTGAGATGTATCCCCTTACCTAAAACATAGATAGCATCCACTTCTGTGCTGTGTACTATGCCAAAAAGAGATGTCTCACAATTCCTTTATAGCGTTCTTGGGATAAAACAAAGGAGGGAAAAACAAAAACAAAAACCCAAACCCCAAACCCCAAACCAAAACAATACACAAACAAATTTTGACCAGCTCCCCTGTTGTTTATTTTTGAGACTTGGACAAATTTCTTAATGTCTCTGAACTTGGATTGTATTTTCTGTAAAATACAAGCACTAAGCTAGATGATTTACAAAAATCTCAGCTATTAAACTGAAAACTTGTTTTGAGTTAGTACTTTATGGTAGAAAGGAATCGTTTAATGCCACATTTAGGGCAGGGGGTGAGTTGGGCACAGCTGGGAAGTGATCTTTTTATATTAAATTTGAGCCATGTGTTCAGGAAACCAGAGTACATCCCAGCACATTAAATCAATTTCTTCATTAATATACCTAGAAATTTGGTAATATTTCTGGGGGCTGCTGTCACTTTTCCAGTTTCCTATGCCTGTTTCTAACCCCCATTGCTTCTTCACATCAAGCAATGCTCATTGTTCTATCCTGTGAATTAATTTTGCATGGAAAATTTTCTTCAGCCTACTAATCTCTGTCATAATCAGGTAGGAGATTCTTCCTACTTATATAAGTGTGTATCACCCCCACTGTGGCCTGTGGTAGCTAGCACTTGAACTTACAAAAAAAAAAAAAGAAATGTGTCAAAAGCAAAGGCAGTGGATTGAGGATGAAAAGGAATGTACACATCTTGAATAGTACAGAGAGTAGGTCACAGGCTCTCCTACTGAATATTTGTATTTTGACATGGACTCACACATTTAGACTCATTTCTAACCTGTTATTTTTGAAGTCCTCTTCGGAAACATCGTAAAAAAAGGAAGGAAGAGAACAGGAAAACTCTGGGTAAAGATAAAACTCCCATAAGTGAAGATATTCAAGAGACCAATATTGCCTAATGGTGAGTATGCTGAGCATAGTGGGTGGGAAGCTTGTAAGTGGGTCATTGAGGCATAATTATGTCTAATAATGATTGATCCGAATTGGGTTTTATGTGTGCAAGCATCCAGAGATAAATTTATTTTCTTTAAAAAGTTTTGTCATAACTGTGTCATTACATAATAACGAAGAAAAGTAGAAACAAATAACTGGTTTTGTTATATAATGCTAAAATAACTAATTCTAATTTTATGCTCAAAAGAATTCCATTCTTGCCCTTGTCTTGAATGTATTACCACAGAAATGGGCATTCTAATGCTGCATAGTTGCCATGGTTATTTTGTATGTTTTTTTTCTCCCACATTTGTGAGTAAAAGAAGATGTATTTTAATTTAGACATATCAAGAGAGGAGATAAAATAGCAATAGCAATGTGAAGAAAAAGAAGAAGGTGATGGTGATAGAGAATTTAGCACACATGAAATGTAGTCCTCAACTCTTGAAGAGTTTGTAAGTCAGGATCCCATCAGTAGTCCCAGATCCTCTCAGCTTATTTAAGCAGATATTCTGATGAGTGTTGCCAGGTCACCCCCCCAAGAGTTCAAGAGGACCACCATGACACTGAACTCTGACAGCATCAAGAGGCCATTGAATACCCTATAAAGATAAAGTAGTGTGTTGACCCACATGAACAGTGGCTTCGTAGGTGATGGCACCTGAGACTCATAAAGAAATATAATTTCTCACTTCCTGCTAACTGTTCACAGGGTTGGCTAAATTCCTGACTAGTTCCTCTAGGTTAGAGGAGAGGCTGGGAGCAATAAGGCCTGGTGTTTCCTTGTTCACCCTCAGCATGAGAAACCCGTTGCTTTCCATAACTCCCTCTGTGACAATGACATCCTTTTTTACAAACATCTCAGTAGCCAATAGTGAACACTAATACTTGCTGAGGAATTACAGTGTTCTTTTTCTTTATTACAAAGATAACACTAGTTACTCCAAACACAAATGCTGAGTATGGATTAGCTATTATTGTTGTAATTATTGTATAGTAATTTATCTTAAAGTTGCTGCCCTTATTTTCTTCATTCTCATAGGTTATAAAGTTACTGCAAGCTGGGTGCAAACTACAAATCACCTTACTCATTGCAGATGGACAGGACATGTCTCAGGAAAACAGCTAGCAGAAATGAATGTTTAAATATTGTATTTCCTATTTTATTTTTATTTGTAACTTTGTTATTGCTTTTAGTAATGTTTTTATTATGTCCTAATAATTGAGAAAAAGGACCTGGCTAGGTAGCAATAATAAGAAGGGACATTTCAAATAAACTTCATTGCCAAGATTATTAATCAAATGAAAGAAAAGTGGGAAAGAGGTTAGATTTTAAGAACCTAGTCAATAACAAGGCTTGCCAGCTTTGTGCACTTGTTGTATGTTGAATTTGAAATATATTATTTCCTTTCATCCTTCCAACAGTCTGTGAGATAGCATATTTTTGTCATTGTTCCCATATATACAAAAGTTAAATAATCTCACTTAGATTCAGAGATTGAGGAATTGACAGAGTCAGAAAAGAGATGGACCCAGATTCATAGCTGGTGCTCTTATTATTATTGTTAATTTGGGTTTCTGTAACCTAAGTAAATAACCCAAGATTCCTTTCTGAATTGTGTTTTGCTATGATTCTGAAATGGTAGGGCAATTTCCCCACATTAACACAGAATATAGAGTCATGGCCAGTGCTGATGTCATCATCATGGTTTCTGAAAAGTTGAATTTTATTATTATTACTATTATTATTATTTTGCTTTCCCATGAAGTCTCAGTGACTTGAGTAAATTCTTATATTTCCAAACCAAATAGATTTGCTCCCTAGTTATAGTAATAAATAGAGGTGGGAAAATAAATGACTGGTGTTCTTTAAACCATCGGTAGGTATTTATCCTCAGTATAGTATAAACAGCACTGTAAAAGACTGCTAATATGCTACAGCTGACCATATGTGACCATATGAGACTATAGCCTCAATTCCAATTTATGTATGATTGCTTTGAGGTGAATTTTGATGCCATGACATCCTGACCATAACATCTATTATTTGAACCATTTTGCAACTTGTTCCTTTGACTGTGTGCTCTATTTAGTAGAAAATACATTAAGCAAAAAAAAAGATATATATTTTTAGTCAGTATTCTATAGAACATAGAATTTTTCACATTGATTAGGTGGGTCACTTACAAAAGGCAATGGGAAGCTGTCCTCAGACAGTGGTGCTTCCTGCTTGTCACAATTCTTGTAAATTTTACTTCACAATAGAGATTCCATAGATTTAAACAAAAGCCTGTGTGTGGAAGTGGGCTTGGTTTACACTAATGAAGAAATAGCTCACTTGTCAATAACAGTTAAGTGAAAGGACTAACATGTCTCAAAATGGATTTTCTTCCTTGTGACTCAATGGCCATCCTCGAAACAAGACTACCTACGCCTGACTTGGATTCCCACTTTATTTTCTAATGTCTCCAGGGGCTTGTATATGCCTTTTCTCTCCAGTCATCTTTGATGCTAAATAGGCTTCAAATGAATGATCACTAGAACATTTAAAAATACCACCAATTCTGTTAAGTGTCTCTGCTTTCCTGGTCCCTGTTTGGCTGACCGGTGCAACCTCTTTAAAGAACTCAGTGCTGGCAAACTCACTTTTATCTGAAACTTTTAATGGTGTCTCTTGACATTCTGACATCTAGAAAGAATTTCAAGTATTTCCATGTCTTTTCAGAGTGTATTTTGTAATTTTTTGCATATATTATGTTGTTGTTTATATAGACTGTTGAGGTTATAATGGAGTAAAATAAATTTATTTTTAAACAAAGCAACCACAGTTTTCCTTGAAATTTTTCTATTGGTACCATGAATTATTAGTAGAAACAAATGCAAACATATTTGCTTTTCAAAGTTTATCTTTATAGAAACCATTCATCAAAGGATTAGGAATATTCTATTTGACTCATGTATTTTCTTTTATAAATTGAAGCATTTGGAAGCATTGGGGCCCAGGTCTTTGACTATTTCTTAGAACTCTACCCCCAACTGTATTTGGTTGGCCATTTGGAGTAATTCCTGGGGAGTTGGGAACTTGAAAGCAATTTTCTTTGGTTTGAGAAGTATAAATATGTCCATTTAAACATTATTGATATTTGTGTTTTGCCTCCTGTAGACTAGAAAAGTAAGTGAATCCTTTGAGGGAAAGGGAGGGAGGGAGAGAGAGAGAGAGAGAGAGAGAGAGAGAGAGAGAGAGAGAGAGAGAGAGAGAGAGGGGGGGCGGGGTGAGTGCTGAGTTAGCAGCATTGAACTCCTGGCTGCACTCACTGACTGTCACAGCTTAGGTTCATTCCTGCCTATGAGTTCCATGAGACACATTAGTATCTCCATAATCAATTCCTTATTTGATTTAATATAGTTGTTTGTGTGTCTTTAATATGGAGCTAAGGGCCCAGGGCCTTGCACATGCTAGTCAAATGCTATATCACTGAGATGTATTTAGATAAGAAGATACAAAGACTCACAACTGGACAAGAGTGAGAGACTTTGGAAGGATCAGTCCTAAGTAGGATGTCTTCATAAAGCCCCTCCCCTCATGTCTCAGGGATCTATGAAAAGAGGGTGTCAGAAAGATTGTAAGAGCCAGAGGTGGTGGATGACTCCAAGGAAATAGTATCTTCAAGACACAGCAAGACTGATACCTCTCAGGGACTGTGGCAGCATACTTAGGATCTTTAGAAGTTTAAGGCAGATGGAGGTCCCAGCACTGAGAGGAGGAGATGAATACAGGTTCCCACTCCTAACCAAGAAGGTATTTGCAATTGATGCCTACTAGCAAAGAGAAAATCCGTTTTCTCCAATGGAGTGTCACTGGCTCCATCAACCATACTTCAGGCCAGGCCCCATGCCCAGAAATAGTTGGCCAACACAAAATGACCTCCATGATTTTATGGGCATTATGCTAACATTTTTGGCATCTTTTGTCTTATTGGTTTTTGTTTGTTTGTTTGTTTATTTGCTTTTGTTTGTCTTTGGGAGGGAGGGAGAGAGGGAGAGATAGAGATGGGGAAGAACTGGAAAAACTGGCAAGAGTTAGGGGAAGGGAACAATACAATCAAAATACATTTTATGGAAAATTTTAAATAAAAATATAAAATAAATATGACAAAAAAGAACCAGTTTGAGCAAAATTTCATGAAGGAAATTAAGGACATATTTAGTTTCCATGACTTTGAGATCAGGACATTTCCTTAAAGAAAAACTTAGAGTAATCTGCACATAACTGTTATGGTGACCTGATCATTTCTTCATCCATCTAAAAGTATTTTTTCAAGTAGCCAGTAAGTGCCAAGTACTGCCAGTGCTATATTTATACCAATTACATTAAACAGTTAAAATATTTAAAAAAAAAAAAACCTTTGACCTCATAGCCTTTCTTCTAGTGATTTGGATCTTTCACAACGTAGAATTTAAATGAGATTTATCCAAAATACTACATTATTAGAAGCTATTATTATCAGACTTTAAATATGGTATTTTTAGTTATTTTTAGGTGTTTTAACTAGATAGATAGATAGATAGATAGATAGAGAGAGAGAGAGAGAGAGAGAGAGAGAGAGAGAGAGAGCATCTTAAAGGCAAGGTGAACATTCACAGAAGATCCCAGCATGTAGGACGACTGGGGGATTTCCCTGGCTCTTGTAACTAATGTATTTTATAACTAGACTGCCAAGAGCACTCATGCATAACTATAGTTTCTTGGTCTAAAACTAGCTTTTTAATACTTCTGTTTGTATGCTTGAGGAACACCGGTGCTGCACTTGGGCACCTGCTCTTCTTCAGAATCCTTTATGCATCAGTGCAATTCTTTTTCCCTGATTGGAACCAGTTCCCGTGTGACCCTCTTTGGCAGCCAAGCATTAATGCCAGAACATAAGGAGCAATTAGTCCACTCTTGCCTCTTTGCTAACTAATGTTC